TCTAACACTCACACGTAATTTGGGGCCTGGAGCCCTGTTCACGCGCGCGCGAGACGTGCAGACAGGGTTGCCAGGTGAGAGCACTTGTCAGGAACACATCTTAGGACGCATCGGTCGTGGCCAAGCCCCCCCCCCCTCCCGGCGGCAGAACAACAATAAGAAAAAGGCTGGCCGAGTAACCCACACACGACGACCGTCGAATCCCTCTCGGCTCCTTGTCATGTACAACCTGGTCGGCCGTGACGTGATTGGACGTCGTGGCCAAGGTGCGATGCTCGGTCTGTTCGCCCTCACGCCATCCCTCCCGGTCCCGGTGCCGACCTCAGAGACGGCCCAGCCGCTCCTCTCGTCCGACCTCCCGGCGCTACACAGCCGCAACATCCAAGCAGGCCAGTTCGCGCCAGGCGAGCCCGTGCCGGTGTACGATTTCGCGCCAGGCGAGCCCGTGCCGGTGTATCGGTACTCGCAAGGGCAAGGCGAGCCCGTGCCGATGTACCAGTTCGCGCAAGGGCAAGGCGAGCCCGTGCCGGTGTATCAATACTCGTCCGGCATGGCGGCCCAGCCGTACGCGAACCAGCACTGGGCAGAGGTTCTGCCCGGCACGGTTGCGCCGCAAGGAGCGCCGGCGGGCTACTTTTACGACGGCGCCCCATCGGCCGAGCCCCTCCGATACGATTCGGGCTATGGCATGCCATACTCACAGCCAGCACTGGACGAGCAGTGCGAGTCGGATTGCGCGGATGCACTCTCCAAGGCGACCGGCGCCTGCCTGCTTGTGCCGACTCCTCTCATCGCGATCGTCGCCCCGATCTGCTACCTAGCCGTCGCCGAGGCCCAGGCGCACTGCGACCGGTGTCCCGAGATCATGTGCTACTCGATGGCCCCGGGCAGGACCGTCTACAAAAACTGGTGGGGTCTGTTCGGCTCGCCCGACGAGGAGCCCTTCTTCCCCTTTGCGAACCCGGGCCTCGACTACGAGTGCAAGAACGACTGGGCCGACATGCTCCCAGATTGGGGCGGGCGCGAGGCCCTCGAAGGCATCTGCGACATGTGCGAGCCCGTCTTTGATAAGTACGGCTCCGGCCGCGGCCGCAGCCTACTTCTCGACAACCTCCACATGGGGCTCATCTCCACCTCGGTGGACACCGCCGTCGACACCAAGGTGGACGTCGGCAAGGATACGGCGGCAAAGGCTCTGGACGAGATGTCGCCCGAGACGATTCGGGCGCTGGGAGGGAGGAAGGGCCTCACCTCTCTCGACGAAGCAAAGGTGGGGCTCGTCGCCGAACAAGCCAAGCTGCACGCGCAGGACAAGCTCAGACAGGGGGCCGTGCAAGCGGCCGCGTCCGCGACCGGCCTCGACGCGGACACCGTTGGCTGGCTCGGCTCATCGGTTGGCGCGCTGGACTACGCGTGCGACTGCGGATGGACGGAGGATTACGCGTGCCCGAGCGCAGAGCAGCCCGGCCGCAAGGGCTGGGCGCAGGACGCGTCGACGCAATGCTACAAGTACTGCTGCGAGGGCGCGGGGTCGCAGCTGAAATCGCTCGAAGAGATACGCGCCGAGGTGGGGCTTGACGACGAGACGGTGGCGAAGGGCCTTGGCTCGGTCGCCGACGCTGTCTCGGGCGACGACGATCAGGGTTACGGCAGCGAGCACTGGCAGCAGGGGAGTGGCTACGCAATGCAGCAGCCGTTCCAGCCGCAGCAGCAGCAGCAATGGCAGCAGTGGCAGCAGCAGCAGTGGCAGCAGCAGCAGCAGCAATGGCAGCAGCAAGCGCCGCCGCCGGCACAGTACCTGAATGAACGGCCGCAGCAACAGTACCAGCAGCCCCTCCCCGCTCAACAGTACGGCCCAGCCGCCGACACGTACGCGCAGACACAGTAGGGGTACACGCCGCCCTCCGCGCACCGCCGCAAGTTCTGGCAGCTTGGCGACGCGGGCCAAGGATGCGACGCGGTGTGCGCCGCGAGTGGCTCGGCCGAGTGCGACGTGGCGACGCTCCGCGGAGACGAGGCGGATGAGGAGTACGAGGTGGAGGGCATCGCGAAGAACCTCCTTGGCCAGCGGTGCGCCAGCAGCTCGGGCTCATCGCCCTCCTTTGCGCCTGCCATCGACGCCGCTGGAGGGTGCCTCTATGCCAACCACGGCGGCCGCTCCTGCACCGTCACGTCTGCTAGCCACCGTCGCTTCTGTCCCTGCGTTGTCTACTAGAATGGAGCTCCCGATCGCCCGGTGTTTAATTCTGTGTACACATTGTTGTAACCTGGTCTGTGCAAGCTCCCGCACATCAGCTAGAGAGGACGGCATTTTCACATCTCTCTTGAGCTGAGCGGCACCGCTCGAGCAGCAGGACGAGATCAGATTCCCGTCGAGAAGTGCGCGCCACACACGACGAGGTGCTCCCCGCCGACTAGCGACTTGAACTTGACCACGACGGCGGAGAAGTCCAGCGAGTCATCAGGAGCAGCCGTCCACTGCTCCTGCTGCCAGCGGTCCTTCTGGTCGCGCAAGGTGTTGACCTCCGCCTTGCTCAAACAGCAGCACGTGGGCTGTTGTTTGCACGTCTCGCGCGCGCGTGAACAGGGCCTTTAAGTGCCAGGGCTTCAGGCCCCAAATGATGTGTGGGTGTTAGAGTTGTTTGGTATTGAAAATCTCTGATGGATGGCCCATCCATCCATCGCGTGATAGCGTGAAGAAAGAGTGCATACGCAACACCGCTCACCGAGGAGAGAAGAGCAATTCTCGACACTGGTGCGGAGCGGACCGACGAATCCGGCTCCAGCGTCGCGGATGTCTTCGCTGGTGCGGATATGGGAGGAACCGCCGTCGGCGCTCCAGCTCTGCCTGCTGGCACTGCGCAGCACGCACAGAAGATGCAGGCCCTGTACCGCACCCGCCGCAAGCAGGCCTACGCCCTCCTGGTCAAGAACATATCTTGCAAGGACATCAAGTTCCACCTTCGCGAGAATTTCTTCCAGCAGGGGGAGCAGGCGTGGCAGTACCTTTGCTCAATTGGGGACATGGAGCCGCAGCGCTCTGATGTCCGTGCGCACGATGCGGCGTGGGCAAAGATCAGCATCGGCGCCGACATTGGCATCAGTGGGTTCACTGTCACCAAGCTCCACAGCCACATTCGCCGCGTCAACGCCGAGCGCCCGCCTACTCACCGCCACGACGAGAGCGAGATCGCTGTTCGGCTCCTCGAGTGTATCAACGAGAACTCAAAGCTTTTCGGAGCCGAGAGCCTCTCCGAGATCAATAGCACCGGGCCTGACAACGGGTACTTCTGGATTGCTGGCACCGCTGCAGGCGTCGGTGGAGTCCCTCCTGCAGTCCCTGCCCGACGTGACCTCGCCAGACTCGTCGCGCACTATTCCACCCACTGGAAGAACGCGTTTGAGAACGGCCACCTCGGCCCGGAGCAGCTGCCGACCGCCAGTGGGAGGCGGGCCTCCTCTCAGAGCGTCGGGCTGTCAACCGAGGCGAAGGCTGCTGCCATGCAAGTCGAGGCCATGCAGATGGAGCACATCCGTGCCATTGTTCCGCGTGGCGCCGTCACCACCAGACCCGGTACATCGAGCGGATTGCCGCCCTCTACGGCAGCGAGATTGGCTCTCGTGCCCAGCCGGCTCGACCGACGTCCAGCGCGCCCTCTTTGATAAGCTCGAGCCTGCTGCCGAGTGCGACCGCATCCCCGTCACCGAGTTCCTGAAGCCGCTAGGAACCATCGGGTGGCCTGCCGAGATGACGCGCCCCGATATCAAGTACTTCTTCTCGAAGCTCGGCTCTTTCTCTCAGGCTTGCGGCGCCGTCCATCGTGACGCCATCATGACCGTCATCAACTATCTCAACGCCACAAAGCAACTCGGCATCACCTACGGCGGAAAGCTCAAGATCCCCTACGGACTCGACACTTTCCCGCCAGGCTTCATTGAGTCTCGTGGCCTCCACGCCTACCATGTCCATGACGCCTCCTTCGGCAAGGCGCCACACTACGGCGGATGCGTCGTGATGTTCAACAACGGCGCCATCGACTGGAGCGCCAACAAGTCCAAGATCGAGGCTCTCAGCGTCGCCGAAGAGGAGACCGCCACCGCCTCCGTCGCCGCCAAGAAAGTCGTCTCCTGCCGGCTCATGCTCGAGGACGCTGGCCGAGCTGTCGCAGGCCCCACGCCCCAGCTCGGTGACTGCAAAGCCGTCTTTGACATCATCGTCAAGCCCGGCTCTACTGCTCGCACGCGCTACTACGAACGTGCCACCAGTTTGTCAAGCGCCTCTTCATGCTCCGCCACGTCGCGCCGTACCTCGTCGGCACTGCTTATATGATCGCCGACGTCTTCACCAAGACGCAGGCGACGCGAGCTATGTTCTTCACCTGTCGCGACTACATGCTCAACGCCAGCAACGGCCCCGGCTTTGCTGTGACGCTCCAGGGGCAAGCTGCCCGGCTGTGGAGCAAGCTCGTCGCGACCGTCGGCAAGGCGTGAGTCATCACCGCCTTCGCCGAAGACGCGCGAGTCGTCCGAGATAGTTGCCGATGCAACTAGGGGGGAGCGTTAGAGACGACTCTCTCTCTCCCAACTGTGAACAGTCGTTATCTCAGTCGTTATCTCTATATGCGCAGCTATTCATTCATAGCCGCGCCTGTTGTTTGTGTGTGTATCCGCGCTCTTGGCGCGATTACGAGACGGACAAGTTTGTGTTTTGAGCTTAGCCTTCGATGTTATGAAAAACAAACGCAAGGCGCACATGGCATATCACTCTCGGGCTCACAGACATCCCTCACACCCGCCGTTTTCTACTTTTTCGTAATAGTATTCCCATTGCGAGGGCGGACCACTCCTAGCGTGCAGACCGCGGGAGCTGGTGCCGCGGCCAGTGTAGACCTGGCCTGCGCTGTGACGCGCGCGCTCATCTTCAACGGTGAACGCGTCTGTGGCACGACTCCACCACCGTCGGCATGCGTCGTCGCAATCGAGCCCTCGTACCATTCTGGCTGCTGCTCGGATGCACCACGAGCAAATCTGAGTTGGCAGCATCTTCGCACGAGTACGATAAGTATGTTATGGCGCAGCGCAGCAAGACTGACCCTCTGTCCAGACGTGGCGCGACAAGGCTTCAGTGGGTGACCCGCCCGCAGCTCGCCGTCATTGCTGAATATGCCCAGAAGCACTTGCAGCTTTCCACCAAGTTTGCGCTTTGCCATGGTGCTCGAAGTGGGCGCGAGGCCGTCTGGTTCCGAGAGCTTCTCCCCAACGAACAGGTTTGGGGGACGGAGCTCTCGCCGGTCGCTGCACGCAGTGCTCCATGGACCATGCAAGGCGACTTTCACGACGAGAGGCCGGAATGGGTGGGCGCGGCTGATTTCGTGTACTGTAACGCGCTCGACCACTCCTACAATGCGAGCCTCGCAATCACACGCTGGATGCAGCAGGTGCACACCAAGGGCGCGACCATCATCCAATGGAGCAACTTTCACGAGAGGAAGGACCACGGCCCCGCCGCGGTCGACATCTTCTCTGCGACTCGCCGCGAGATGGTGCAGTTGATCTGCAGCCTGCCGAGTCGGTACAGCCTCTTCATCCTCACGCTCCCAGAAGGGGCTACGTTCAGCGGACGCAGTAATGAGCACGCGTACGTCGTCACTCACACGGGGAGCAATCGGACCAGGGGAGAATGTGGGCAGAGGACATAGGTCATAGCCTAGATGGTCATGGCGAGATCAGGTGATGATGCGGTTGTAACGCGGTTGTGCTTGTACATCCTCTCGCGGTGCGACGTCCTCAAGACCGCCCGGCGACCGCGGTTACGTCCGCGGTACCGGCAGGGCCGCGACCCGCGTCGAGGGTGCCGTGGCGTACAGTAAACCCCGTCGCTCCTTCTGTACGGGAGATTCACAGCTTCAGCCTTCACTACGGCTCTACCGACGGATTGTACTAAGTAATTGTATGCCATCCGAATCTCTCACGCAGGTCGACAGTGCGGATCTCCTCACTCAATACGTAATGCGGATCGGATCTCTTGGATCTTTCACGTGGGCAGTGCGGATCTCATCCCGCGGATAGTGCGGATCCCTCCCGAGGATAGTACGGATCTCTCTCATCTCTTGTTGAACCGCAAAATTTATTTTGGCTGCGCGCTTGTCCACCAGTGTGAAGGTGGTCGTGTGTCCTCGCGGAGCGACGCGGATCGCGCGCGTGTGCGCCTGCGACAAGACGAGACGAGAAAGAGAAGGAGAAGCGAACGTCGATGTTTTTGCTGCCGCGGCCGCGCCGCGACCTCCCGTTTGTTTTGGCGCCGATGCAGCGCCGTCTCTCGCCGCGCGAGATGGCGCCGCCGCGGCGTCGGCGCCGCGATCAACCGCGCTCCAGCAGCGAGCGGTGCGGAGCGGCTACCGACATGACAGTTGGCGACGGCGTCTTGATATTGTGCCAGTGCGCGCAGTCCCGTGCCCATAAAAAAGAAAATTTATTTGCTGCCGCTGTCCACGCACGGTCCCATCCGGCTGCGCGAGCTGCGAGCACGCAGCCCAATATGGCGGACGCTGGGCCCAAGGTTTCGCTCGCCGACGTGGCTGCGCGTCTGCTCGAGCAGCCACTCCCCTCCTCGAGCGGCGGCGCGCCAATCCTCGCTCGACGCAGCTCGGCCGTCCGTCAGATTGACGATGCCAAGCGCGAGGAGCGCGAGGCCGCTGCGATATCTCGCGCCAAGCGCAGCTTAGCCACGCAGGCGCACACGACACTCCGCACCGGCGCGGACGCCAGCTCCGCGGTGCTTGAGCGGCAGCTGAAAAAGATCGCCACCCGCGGTGTTGTGCAGGTGTGCGCACCGGCGCCGCCACTTCCCGACGCCGCGCTCCACTGCCCTTGACGCCCCGTCCCCCGCCGGCAGCTGTTCAACGCGGTGCGCGCCGCTCAAAAGGAGGCGCCCGAAGCGGCCCCGAAGAAGGCCAAGCGGCAGCGACGCGACCCTGGCGCTGCGACCGCGCCGCCCGCCGCAGCGCCGCTCGACCTGTCGCGAGACAGCTTCCTCGACATCCTGCGGCGAGGCACTGGCGGCGCCAAGGCTGGCGCGCCGAGCAGCTCCGCCGCCTTTCTGCGCGACGACTTCATGCTCGGGGAGAGCAAGTCGAAGCACTGGGGCAGGTGGTGGTGTAGCAGTCGCCGGTCAGCAAGCATCCCGACGCTGCGGCGCACCGCCACACGGCTCACAGCTCACAGCTCACAGCTCACAGCTCACAGCCACTCACCGCTCGGCCGCAGCTCACAGCACTCGCGCAGCTCACAGCTCGCCAGCGACGACGCAGCGACGGGGTGTAGCAGCGTGTGCCGCTCTGCGTGCCTTCTCTCGCCCCTGTCCCTCGGAGGCCACTCGGCTGAGCGGCGTGCCGTCGCCCTCTCCCACAGGCCGCTGGAGGAGGGCGAGGAGGAGGGCGAGGAGGAGGAGGAGGGCTTTGACGACGACGACGACGACGACGACGACGATGAGGAGCCGTGAGCTGCATGTGGCGGGTTTCGGAGAGGCTGCAGGCTGCAAGAGAGGAAACGGTCGCGCAGAAGAAAAGTCTCTAGCTAGGAGGAGAAAAGTCTCTTTTTCTCGTTGGGTTTCTTTTTATCGTTTATGTCCAACGCCCCCGCCAGCAGTTCAATCTCGCCGGCCCGGAGCGACCTGGCCGCCTTGGGCTTGGCCCTTGAAAGCCTTGCAGGACAGTGTCTCAGTGCCCGCCGTTCTCCATGGCGCGCGTAGCTATGACAGGGACCGCGGCCGCGGACCCGGTGGCGGACGGGGCTGGTGCGCAAGCGCCGGCCACCGTCGTGCCGCCGGGGATGCGCAGCGGACGCTGGAATAGCTCCGATCGCGCGCAACTGGAGGACGCGGTGATGGTCGCAAGGATCGCAGGTGCGTCGCAGGTCAGGCTGATAAGGCCTGGCTACGCGACCATCGAGATCGACCTGAAGCACGAGAAGGCCGCGGGCGACCGCGAGTCGGTTCAGGCGGCGGAGCGCTCGTACGTCGAGCGCACCGCGCCAAAGAAGAAGGAGCTCACCAAGGAGCAGCTCGCGGCTCGGGCCGCGGCACGCAAGGCCAAGAAGATCCGGCAGAAGGAGCGCCGGGCGAAGGAGGCTGGCGAGCGCGCCGCGAGCGAGGCCGAGCGCGCGGAGGCCCCGCGCGCGCAGCTGCGCGAGAACATCGAGTACGTGGTGGCCGGGCTGCGGTCTGCAGCTGCGCAGGCGCGCAGCCAGGCCGGGTCCAACATAGGAGTCGAATACTCGCTGCCCCCGGAGAGGGACGACGGGTATCGACGCGGCCCCAGCAAGGTGTACGCCACAGTTCCCCAGGGGACCGTGGCGACGACGGTCGCCCCGGACTGGCTCGCGAACGAGCTGGCCGGGCGCGGCAAGATTGATGCGGCATGCCGCGACCGCATGGTCATGCACCTGATGACGGCCGCCGGCGCCTCGGCGCCGGCCGACGCCGTGTTCAGGTTCACGGCTGGCGAGGCAATGCAGACCGAGGACGACGACGAGGACGCCGACCGCTCCGAGGAGTATTCCGACGACGACGGGAGGGCGTCCGACTAGTAGCTGGCCTCACCCATATCTTACCCTCTGCCCCCCCCCTCCTGCTACCCCCCAGGCTAGATGGAGTAGTCACAGATAGCCCCACACAGCCCCTTACCCCGGGTACTACCCCTTCACCCTCGCCTCGCCGTGTTTCTGAACACGTAGACGACCACGCTGTGGGGGTTGTGTTATAGGAGTAGGAGTGGGGTGCGCAGGTTGCTCACCCACGGCACCGGGCCGGTGCTTGCACTTTGAATGCCGTGGGGCTCCTGCCCGTGTCCGGGCGTGGAGATGCGAGGGTCGCCCCCCCTTGCCCCACCACTTTGTGTGTGTGGAGACGTTTACCTTACCTTACCTTAGCCTTGCAGCTAAAACTGCTAAGCCTAGAGCCGTAAGGAAGGGTTGTACGTTAAGATGCGCACAGCT